GGGTAGGGTACGTACTACGTAGTATACTATACTATATATATATATATATATATATATATATATGGAAGATAGTACAAAAACGCCTATAGGCGAAAACGAACAGTATTTTCGCCTATAGGCTTGGCGCCGTCCGATTTTTTAGTATGGCGTGGATTAAAGACCTTCATAGACTTAGCATGTCTATTGCGGTTCGTCACGGACATAGCAAGTCCATGACGGGATTTTTTTCATGCAAATTTGAAGCAAAAAATATGGGGGGATTGCCATGGCTCCCGTAGGTTCGAGGCGGTTTTTATGCAAAACCGTCATGGACATAGCATATTAGTGATGGAGGCAAAACACTGTAGCACTTTGCCTATAAGTGTTTTTAAGACTTTTCATATATATATATATGGAAGATACTACAAAACGCCTATAGGCGAAGATGAATAGTGATTTCGCCTGCCCTCATCACTGTCCAAAGTTTATCGCACGGTCACGATTATTCGGTAGTGTTTAATTTTTTTTTTTTTCTACAAATTGGAATGATCTGAACTTTGGAGCGTCTGTTTATAAAAAATAGACGAATCTATGAAAAATATCAAAAAATATTTTACATGAAATAAAGTGACCAAAATACCCCCGAAAATTTTCAGGGGTATTTTTGTCAATTATTTTCTCGAATTATTATTTTTTATATTTTTATTAGATGCGCCTCACAAAGATGTACACATACTCCAAATTTCAGGTCATTCTGATTTGTAGAAAAATAAAATAAAAAATAAAACACTACCAGACTATCGTGACCGTGCGATGAGCTTTAGACGATGATGAGGGTAGGCGAAATCATTGAATGATAAAAAAAAATAGCCTACCCTCATCATCGTCCAAAGCTCATGGCACGGTCACGATAGTCTAGTAGTGTTTTATTTTCCATTGTTTCTTCTACAAATCAAAATGACCTGAAATTTGGAGCATGTATACATCTTTGTGAGCCGTATCTAATAAAAATATATAAAACATAATTCATGAAAATAATTACCCAAAATACCCCCAAAAATTTTTGGGGGATTTTGGTCAATTTTTTTGTGAATTATTTTTTTATATTTTTATTAGATGCTCCTCACAAAGATGTACACACGCTCCAAATTTCATATCATTCTGATTTTTTATCAAAAAAAAAAGAAAAATGAAACACTACCAGAAAATTGTGACCGTGCGATGAACTTTGGACGGTGATGACGGTAGGCGAAATCACTGTACATACAGGAAGATACTACAAAATGGCTATAGGCGAAAATGAACAGTGATTTCACATATGGTCATCACCGTCCAAAGTTCATTGTATGGTCACGATTGTCCGGTAGTGTTTTATTTTTCATTTTTTTTTCTACAAATCTGAATGATCTAAAATTTTGAGCGTATGTTCATAAAAAATAGGAGAATCTAATAAAAATATGAACAAAATATTTCGCAAAATATAAATTGACCAAAATACCCTTGTAAATTTACAGGGGTATTTTGGTCAATTTATATTTTTCGAAACGTTTTTTTTATATTTTTATTAGGTGCATCTCACTAAGATGTATACGCGCTCCAAATTTCAGATTATTTCGATTTATAAAAAAAATAAAAATTGAAATACTATCGTACAATCGTGACCGTACGATGAACTTTGAACGGTGATGAGCATAAGCGAAATCACTGTTCATTTTCGCCTATAGGTGTTGGGATATATATATATATATATATATATATATATATTGAGAGAGAGAAAGAGATGTATCTAAGCATGAATAAGTTTCTACCAGATTTGGCCTTGAATGAACTATACAATTCAATCTTGTCTAACAAAGATATCGGGATTTCCTGGTAAGATGTTGGAATTTGATGCTAATTGCCTTGAGTCTTTATTGCCTTCACAGGTGAGAGATGCTGATGCGATCGCATTAAAACGCTTGGACCTAACAGAGCTTCCAAATTTAAGGGCAATATTTTCAGCCAATACAGGCATGGGATTCATCGAAGATCTTCAGGTCTTGTGTTTGAAACATTGCTCAAAATTGAAAGCTATCCTTCCATCCGGTTTTCATGGATTATCGAAACTTGAGCATATATATGCAGGAGAATGTCAAAGCTTAGTGAAGATAATCGATGGAAATGTGCCTGCAAATGCCCTTCCAAGCTTCAGAAAATTCTTGCTTGAAAATTTACCAAGCCTGAGGGCTATTTGGGAGGGAGAACTTGGTGATGGAGCACTGAGAAACCTAGAGTGTTTACAGGTAAAGAACTGTCCTGAATTGGATAACCTTCTTCCTTCTAGTTTGCACAAGCTTGAGAAGCTCGAAGTGATTCACATTGACAATTCTGATAAAATGGAGAATATAATGGGGGAGACTACAGTCGGAAGCTTTGCGCTTCCTCATCTCAGTTACCTTTTTCTCTCAAACATTGGCAAGATGAATACAATTTGGAGATGGGGTTTGGGATTTGAAGCTCTAGGACGCTTGGAACAGATCACTGTGGGTAAATGTCCAAATCTAGAGCTTCTCTGGAATGGAGAGATCTCGACTGGAGCTCTGAAAAGCTTCAAGAGCTTAAGGCTATATAAATGTCCAAAGATAGAGGTACTGCTTCCCTCTAGTTTAGATAGACTTGAGAGGTTACAGAACATCTCTGTAGAAGATTGTGATAAACTAGAGAAAATAATAGAGGGGAGCCAAATGGAGAAAGTTGGTGCTCTACAAAACATGAGATCTATGGATCTTAGAAAATTGCCTAGGCTTAGAGTTTTATGGGAAGGAGAACTGGGTTTTGGAGCCTTAAGAGAGATGAAGAGCATGACAATAAGAGAATGCCCATTGCTAGATAGCCTTCCTTGTGGTCTGAACGAGTTACCGAATTTGGAACTTCTCTCCATCAAAGACTGTGAGAGCATCGATAACATAGTAGGGGAGGTGGGTTATGAATCCCCGAAATTTCCAAACTTGGTGGATTTGTACTTGCAAGACCTGGCCAATTTGAAGGTAATTTGGCATGGAGAAATGGGCATTGGAGATTTTCAGTGGTTGGAATGCTTAATCTTAAGGGGACTCAATGGACTAAAGCACCTTCCTCCTGGTTTGAACAAGCTCACTAAATTGAAGCAGCTTTTGGTGTGCAGATGCGGAGAGTTGCAGAAGTTTATGGGAGGTGAATTAGCAGAGGAAAACTCTTTGCCAAATTTAGAGCATCTGGACATTGCTGACCAACCCAACATGACAACCATTTGGGAGGACTTAGGGGCAGGATCTCTGAGAAAATTGAAACGCTTAGCTATCCAAAATTGTCCAAGGTTAGAGGCTCTTCCTCTTGGTCTTATGAAGCTTGAGAGCTTGGAAAAACTGCTTATAAAAGAGTGTAACAGTGTTGTTACCGTAACTCCCAATGAGGCAGTCGAGGGGGCGACACTGCCAAACTTGGTGGAGCTTAGACTGGAGGAGCTGCCAAATTTAGAGAAAGTTTGGTCAGGATCAACAGCATTGCCTAAGTTAAAATACGCTACTATTACCGGGTGTCCAAAGTTGAAGAAGTTCGCGAACTTTAACATTGGGTTGAGTTTAGAGAGCTTAAGAGGGTCCAAAGACTGGTGGGAAGGGCTAGAATTAGAAGAGGATGAGAAACTCAAGCTACAGCAATGTTTCAGTCCATGGCCTATGGAAGGAGAAGTAAAGAGATCGCCAAGATTTCATAGGCGTTTGATCCGAAGATCTTGGCAGTGAACAGTTGATCTTAAACCACTGGTGAGGACCTTGGTGTAATCTTAAGTTCAAGCTTAATGTATGTAAAATATGTGATGCTCATATGTCTATGCATTTGAGCTGCTTTTGAATGATGCTATCAGTGAGAAATAAAGAAGCCTAGTTTGCTCTTCCTCTGTAAAGAAGTGCAAAGGACTAACACTTTTAATCAGGTGACCAGTTAGTTGGTTAGTCTTTCTTCCTCTCTCTTAGAATATGCAGAATATATGTAGATGCATGAGAGAGAGACCTTTGTGCCATGTGTCAAAGTGTGAAATGGCATACACATGTTTTTGGCATGCCATATCAATAATGCTAAAACCCAAATAAGAAAACAATTTTTTTGCTCTACCCTTCACAGATAACTAGACACCCAAGAAGGAAACAGAAAACCTAACAATAAAAAATGGGATTCTAAAATTTAAAATTAAAAAATGGGAGCAGCTGGCATACGGATACGGATGCATCCGTAGCTGTAGAAGTAAGATGCACCTTCAAATTTAATCATGGTACATAATTTTGATGTAAAATGTTATTAGGATTATCTCAAAATCTATTTTTTAATTATAAAATTTTAAATTTCAAAAATAGTTAAAATCAATTAGATCTATGAACATATGAAAATCTTGAAAATGGACGGTGTAGATAATATGTTGTGAAATGTATTATTTCTGAGGCTTAAAATGTTTTTATTTTTCATGGTCATACATCTTGATGTCGAGATGATCAATCAAAGGGTTTTTCAACATTAAAACTATATTTTCTGATGGATTTTTGAGGTGCGTCCGTAGTTCTACATTATAAGGTTGCATCCTTATATAAACTTTTTCTTTAAAAATTTATTTTGTCAAGCCGTGCTTTATAAAGCTGCACTTCAAATCATCATCCGAATCTTATCTCAATTATTTAAAGTAAGTTATACATGTCCTATTCCACCATTAACATAGGACTTGGATTTATGAATAGGTGTGACAAAATTTTTATGCCAACATAACACAAACCCTCCACATTTCTTTAGGCTTGGGACTGGCCATGGTGGAGTTACTTCAAATCTCATCATAAAACTTTCGAACTTTCAAGTTGAACATGTTCACATTTATGATAGGATCAAGAAAAAGAAAAGGATTTCTAAGCACTACAAGTAGGCCATCTCACAACACTGTATAAATTTGTGTATTTCAAGTAGTCACAAACCTGCACCATTTATGGAGCTTTAATTTTATAATGACAGCACAAGGTCTTTCCATGGCTGGATCTAGTTCATTTAGCAGGGTGGGGAGATGTGGTTATAGTAAATTTAGTAGAGATGCAACCTCAACCAAACCTCATTCTTTGAAATTTGAATTCCAAAACTGAATAGGGGCACAAGTGAGAACTTGCAATGAAATCATTATTATTATTATGTTCAATATAAAAAATTATTGATCATAAGCTTTAAAAATATTTCATCTCGCAACATTTTTTTGAACTTCTTAGATCAAATTATAGATCTTGCATACTACATTGTTTCATGGCTACAATTACACTGTCGAGGAAGAAACGAATTAGCAATGCCATCACAAGGTTTAGTGGCGCTTCAAGTTGTGGCCTTTCGTAAAGCCGCGGCCGTGCCAAAACCTCACCTTTAAGAAAAAAAGAAATTGATAAATCCAAACTCCAACAGTTAAAGTCCAAAACAACCCAAAAAATTGCCCCAAACAAAATGGGAAATGACAAAGCTCTCACCCGATTTTGAACAAAAGGCAATAAAAAAGTTATTAGACTCTCCGAAGTCCAAATACAGTGCACTAGTGTTTTGAAACCCCATGATTTTCAACTTAGATGGGAATTGGTTACCAACTATACTGGTTTTGGGATGGTATGGGTGTTGCTCGATTCTCCCTAAAACGTCCTATATGTTTTTCTATTTTTTAAGTTTATGTAATATTTTTTTAATTCCCTTTATATCCCTATCTTATAAATCTCATTTTAAATTTTATTTTGTTTAATTTATTTTTTAATATTTTTCTTGTTCACCAATTTGAACTAATCCAAACCGGATCCTAATTGTCGAACCTGATCTCACAAAAATCTACGGGTCGACAATGAACTGACCGATCCGGGTTTTGAAACTCGAGTGTACTCGTGCCTTCGCCTACAAGTTTGCCAATAACGGGGGCATTTTAGTCTTTTTAAAATAATGAAAGTAATAGAAGAGAAGACAAGGGCAAAATTGGTCATTTACATCTTTTAATTCAAAAGCAACGCGGGAACTGATGAATACATCCTTCCTCATTCAATATAAATTATAGAGAAATTATTATGAATTACAATTGAATATGAAATTCTCAAAAGTTTTTTATTTTTATGCCCTAGAAAGTTTTAGACTCAGCACCGAAGGTGATCCTTGTTGTCCTTTCTTTTGCCCTAATTCAATTAAAAAAACCCTTATTTCTGGTTTCTGTTCGATATAGAATTTATCTCAATCATGATGCCCTAGTTCATTTGAGACTTTTCCAGTAGAAATAATGCTGTTTCGTACCCTAATTTTGATTAGAAACGCCGTGTTGTAGTTTCTGATGCATAGTTTATATGAATCATTCAGCCCCACCTTCTTCTTCTTCTTCTGTTTTTTCAAAATTATGATTGTATTTTATTTGTACGAAGAAACACTTGATTCTGTTTTCTTTTCGTTCTTTTTTCTTTTTGGTGGTGTAGAATTTGTCTGATATTGTTGACCTAGTATCTCTGGTTCTAGTGTAATGATTTCACATTAAAAACATCTGAAGTGTTTTTATAGTGTAATGCATGTTTGAAAATTCTGTTTCCTTACCATGTTGGTTGGAAGATGAAATTCTGGTCTGAATTGACTTGAAATTTTAAATTTCATTGACGATTGTAATTCGCATAAAAACATGTGCCTAATTTTAGCCAAAATAAAGGCAAAATATTTAATTCTGCATCAAACCATAAAATTATTTCTCCAAATTTGGGTGTCTCAGAACCAGTGTGACAGGAATCTGCCTCAGCCTCGGCCTCGTCCGATGGGTGGGGCATATAAAATAGTTAAAAAAATAAGAATTTGACAAAAATATGGAAATGTTATTCAAATTTTTTTTATATGATTTAGATGTATTTAAGGCAGACGCTGAGTACCCCAGAGTTTAGGGTAAAACTTGGGCATATAAAATAATTTAAAAAATAAAAACTTGAAAACATATGGAAATGTTACACGAACCTTTTTTATATAGTTCAGATGTATTTGGAAAACATTGGCTGAGTGTTTTTTTGCTATAATCACTATTTTCATTTTTCTTGTTTTTTAGGATTTTTTTTAAAAAAAAGTATCAAATTTTAAATAGTGTTATTTTATTTTATTTTTAAGGGTGGTTTGCATAAGGCTGCAACCAATTTATTTATTTATTATTATTATTATTATTTTTCAAGTGTTAACAATAATTTCATTGAAAAAATGAGTAATAAGAGAAAGCTAGCTTTGCAAGACAATCAGCGTCTCCATTCTTTTCTCTGTTGATTTTCTTAAACAATCAAAATAAGGTACACCTCTAAACTTTTTCATGGGATGCAATTTTGATGTCGAAAATACTTAGGATGGTGTGATAATCTATTTTTTATCTTCAATTATAGAATTTTAAACTCCAAAAAATGGTTCAAATTAAGCATATCTATGATCACATGAAAATCTTGAGAATAGACGGTCCAGATAATGTATTGCAAGATGTACTATTTTTAAAACTTGAAATCTATATAGCATGAAAATTTGAGGCTATGGGTTTTGCAAGTGTTGACACATCAAGGATGCAACACCTGTTTTTGACACTTTAAAAAATGAGATGTTTTTGTTTTTAATTTTCATTGTAAAAAGTATTTCATTTCACCTAAAATCCTACCTCTCCCTCTCTTAAATGATTTATGGATTTATGTATTGCGTCCAAAAGACTAATTTTGAGAACTTCATTTCTAGCACATGTATTCATGTGTATGTAACTAAGTATGAAACTATACTAGCATGGGTGACTTCACAAATCAAGGAAAACAAATTTTATCAGTATTTTATACATTACATTTGAGGGAAGTTAGGGGTAGTTCCAACAAGTGATTAAATGAGAGAAACTACACTTAGGTGGTCTGATCATGTGCAACGTTGACATAGAGCAACACCAGTTAGGAGGGGTGACTTGGTTCAGGTTAAAGACACTAAAAGGGCAAAGCGAAGGCTCCAAAAGACATGACTGGAAGTAGTGAAAAAAGATACGGTGATTTATGGTCTGACCGAAGATATGATGAGTGGAATGACAAAAACAAAATTTGTTTAGCTGACTTCAAATCGTTGGGATAATGTGCTAATGATAATTATGATGATTTATTACCCTATTACTAAAATGGCAATAGTGAAGGAAAACCATTTGGGAGTTTTGTTTATGTTGAGCAGAAACTGAATGACATTTTGGAGACACCAAAAATTGGAAAATAAATTTAATACAGATTTTATGCTTCATTGCTTATGTTATTTTTCCTTAAATTGGTTTTAGCACATCCTGTAGTTTTTTTTTTTTTCTTTTCAAGTCAATCAAATTCATAGTGATTAACTAACATGTTTTCTCTTTTCCATGTCTTAAATTATTTCTGGCTATTTATGTTTGGTATTTGTTATATATTGATAAGTCTATTACTTGTGCGCATTCTCCAGACTCCAGATGCATACAACTTGGTTTCTTGAGATGCTCATGTTTTAGCGCATGTGTGGATGAATCCTTAAGTCTGCACTAATTGATAACATGGTTCTAACAATTCATGTTTCAACTGAAATTCTACGAAGTTATATTTCAAACTTATATATATATATATATATATATATATATATATATATACATAATTAT